ACTGCAAAAGTTGCTTTACAACGATCGCAGCCGAATGCGCTAACCACCTGCGTCATCGAGCTCCTTGCGTATAGTACGACCAAATAAATGAGTCTAAAAATAACGCATCCATGTAAGCGCAATCTATGCCAGTCGGACCAATGAGCCGTGAAGAATATTGAGCGCAATTACGTCATCGTTTTAGAATGCAAGCCCTCCGCAATCGGAAGCCATTTTCCATTCTAGCGCTCCGTCTACGATTATCCGTCATTTTTTCCTTAAAGATTCGGTTAAAATTGTTCGGTCATGTTCCCATTGTTGTGTAGTCGTGTGTGCGTAATGCTTTAATATTGAGGAAATCGAACGATTTTCAGTGAAAAGGGATGTTAAAAAAATATTAAGTCGTGCTGATTCAAACACTAGGAATACGGTAAAAGCCTCTTTTATTTATATTATACTATAGTACCCCTAGCACGAACCATTATCGAATTCGAATAGTTTGCAAACCGAAATGTCAATGTCAAATTTTGTATGGAAACTTGAACAGCAGCGGCACAAAGTACGTAACGAGAACTAAAAATCAGTACACATATGACAATGACATTTCGGACTCGCAAACGATACGAATTCGATATTGGTTCGTGCTAGGGGTACTGTACCCTTTCGTATATTCGTAACATGTTTCTGTACAAAATTTGACATTGACATTTCGGTTTGCAAACTATTCGAATTCGATATTGGTTCGTGCTAGGGGTACAGGTTACCAAATCTTTGCCTGCACAGATTCATTTATATTTCATCACTACTCATTCCTTTTTTCACCAACATGACAATTACAGGTCTGGTTTTCAAAAATATTAAATAATATTGCGCTGTTTCAGCTATTAAAAAGTGTTTTATGTAAAGACTAGCTGTGACCCGCGGTGTTACTCGCAGTTTATTAGGCATATTTTCCCGCAGTAAAACGTAGTCTTTATGTTAATCCAAGGTGTCAGTTAACTCCATACCAAATTTTATAAAAATCGCTCCAGCCGTTTAGACGTGAATAAGTAACAAAAATAAACACTCACAAACTTTCACCTTTATAATATATCGTCATCATCATCAGCCTATTAACGTCCCCACTGCTGGGGCACAGGCCTTCCCTATGGATGGAATAGGGAGATTGGGCCATGACCCACCACGCGGGCCCAGTGCGGATTGGTGGGTGCTAACGACTGCAGATACAACCGGGACCAACGGCTTAACGTGCCTTCCGAAGCACGAAGGAGCTCGAGATAGTAAATTTTTGGTCACCCATCCAATAAGCGACCACTGCGAAAGTTGCTTAACTTCAACGATCGCAGCCGAACGCGCTAACCAGTTGCGCCATCGAGCTCCTCCTTATAAATATAAGTGTGATTGGAATGCGTGGAAACGTCAAAAATCTCTTATCTATTAGACAAGTCCGTCCGTCCGTCCGTCTGTGGTGCTGTTTCAGCGGCCAAACCGTAAGAGATAGATAAAGAGAATATTTAAGTTATAAGTTAAGAATAGTCTGATAAGACTACAAACCGGATTTGAATAACGTAGCACTTCCGGTTTTCGAGAAATCACGAATTTCAAACGAAACCACACAAAATCTCCGAAGTTCTAAATTAATTAAATACATTTATTTTTTAAATCAGGTTTTGGTGAACATTTGGTTCACTGGTTTGCTAGTTAATACAATAATACACTAAAACATACAAAATTACAAATTATAACGCACTTGCAAATTCAAATCGCTTCAAATAACAACAAACATTTACACAGACAGATATCACTTTCTATCTAACTCGAGTGCAGTCCTCCACAAATCATTAGGCTTGTTGGAAATATATCGATGTATCGATATATCGATATTTTTTGCCGATATATTTTGATTCGATATATCGATACATCGATACAAAATAACCAATATCGAAATTCGTATCAAAAACGATATTTTTTAATATATATCATATCACGATCTAACTAAATTTGTATCTGGAAAAATCGTAACTGGATCTCAGATTAATGATATTCAACATATCTATGATCTGTGCTGTATTTAGTATTGTCTATTGTTTGTAAATCTGTTTTGCTGGTGAATTGGTTGTGCTGATTTCCATTATATTCTGTGAAGTGTGTGACTGTCTAGTCTTGTTTACGAAAGAGACCCTGGAACCATTTACCTGAGAGGCCCTGCAATCATTTCCATCATTCGAAAATAGGGTCTATTTTTAGGGAGATAAATTTCGTTCCATTATTATTCTCGTGTCATATTTCGTGAGATACTGTACGATATTTTTGGGAAAATTGGTCCGATATATCGATGTTTTTTCGCGATATATCGAAGCCGATATTGATATTTTTTAAAAGATGGATGTATCGATATATCGATATTTTTTTCAACTTTCGACATCCCTACAAATCATCAAAACACAACGCAGCAATAGCAATCCACTTTCCATATTAATACCAGCCGAATTGCTATTCCAACCGCACAACGATAATTTCCCAGCACTTAAGGCGAGCACGTAAATTTGTCTGATCAAAGGATACGCTTCATTCAGTAGCGCGGTTAATGAAATTTAAAAATAAACCGATTTATGAATGAGATACCCCGACACTCTGTAGCTATATAAATGGTGGAGGGCATTTATTAGTCATAAATATGACGTGCATAAAATACTCATGTCGGCCACGATACAAATCGAATAATACTTAGATCGTGTTTTTATAAATGTGATTGTAATATATGAGGAGCTCGATGGCGCAACTGGTTAGCGCGTTCGACTGCGATTGTTGAAGTTAAGCAACTTTCGCAGTGGTCGGTCATTGGATGGATGACCAAAAATTTACTATCTTGAGCTCCTCCGTGCTTCGGAAGGCACGTTAAGCCGTTGGTCCCAGTTGCATCTGCAGTCGTTAGCACCCACCAATCCGCACTGGGCCAGCGGTGGGTCATGGCCCAATCTCCCTATTCCATCCATAGGGAAGGCCTGTGGGTAGTCATGCTCTCATAATAGTCTCTTCGGCGGTGTCGTGTGAGGTGGGTCGTTACGTTCCTTAAAATATGGTTGAGAGAAGTGATGGCTGGTTCATGCGTCATGCTCGTGAACGGGTGCTGCCAGCGGACAAGAGTCTGCCCTAACTTCCTTGATATTGAAGTTAATTTTTAGTCACACTTAATATAAATAACACTATTTGTATTTATACTGTATGACACAGCAATCAAAACGCAGGTAAACAATTAATGTATATTTAATCATTATGTAATGAAAGGTGACTTCTTGAATCATCTCTAAAGTCATTTTTCAATTTGACGACTCTGTAAATAATAAAATAGGGAGAAAAAAACAGCCCTTGCTGAGTTTCGTGCCGGTACATGGTCTCCCGCCGTAGATTTACAAACCAATGGCGTAGTTTCTACATATTCATGAGTGCTTGTAACAGCCTAAACTGAATAAATGATTTTGATTATGATTATTATGATTATCAAAGGCTGAGATTACTTATACATAGTTATAGTTACATATTTGAACTTATTTGGACAGAAAATCCGGTATGCCTTATTTCACTTAAAACAGAAACAGTTCTCATTAACACTGTCTTAACGCGTGTTGAAAAAACAATTAAGTCTTATCCACGGGCTCTGCTTTAGTATACTGTAGAAATATGATGTCGATATTTTTATGGCGCGGCTATTTTTATTTAGAGCAGAGCTTATTAAGCATCAGTTGTTGAATGTAAGCTTGAAAATACAAGTTGAGAATATTTATTTTAGCGACGACGTCAGAATTTCAACGCATTTTAAAAACCTTACGAGGTAACTAAGTCAGATAGTACGCTAAGGGCCTCGTTCACCATCTCTGAGTAAAAAAGTAACTTAAGTAAAACTAAAAAGTAACATTTTTCAATTTCACATGCAAAAATGAAGTTCTGAGTAGCTACTCAGCAGTATGTCGGCGAATCGTTCATTAATTTAGTAAAATTCACTCATTTCGTTGTCATTAAAGTCAAACTAATGTCACTGTCAGATAGAACACTGGATTCTGTTGTGTCGGTGTCGTGTTGTTGTTGATTTCTCGTGGTGTATTTTCCTCAATATATTTTGCGTTTCCGTGTTTTTTTAAATTAAAATTATAAAGAATAATGACTAATAATGTTATAAAAAGAGAAAGAAGTGCAAATTTTAATTCGGACGAATGAGATTTATTAGTAACTCTTGTGCAAAAATATCGCAATATAATTGAGAATAAGCAAAGTGATGGTATTACTTGGAAGAAAAAAGAGTTGTGTTTTGTTTATAGATTAGGAAGAAAGTTTTTTTACAGACATCTAGGTATTAGATCTAATATAGATAGTTTTATCATCACTCACCTTTGAGTCTTGGTTATTATATTGTGCTTAATTAGATAATGCACATGATTAACTGCATTTTTAGATAACCGAAATTTCTTGATCATCAAATTCCGAAAAATAATCAACACGGACATTATAAACTTTTTTTTTATTATTATTTTAAAAAAAAAAAACTCCAATCCGCGGAATTCTTAGTTAAAAATAATAGTCGTCTTCTAACTCATCAATTTGGTACTCAATTATATCAAATAAATCCATTATTTTCTTAGTAACGTATCGAAGTTACTAAATACAATTCTCTTATTCGACAATTAAAATAGTTACTCGCCAAGTAACATGAATTAAATGTCGAAGTTAAAAATAAGTTATAGGCTACTTTAACCGTTGATTAGCATTACTAGAAGATCGTGAAATTCGAGATAAGTTTTACTTGCGACTTTATGTGACGAATAGTCTACTCGACACTTTATTCCGAGATGGTGAACGAGGCCCTAAATATACAACTTGAAATTCTAGAGAAAATAGTTCTATTGTCAAAAATTACAGAAAATAAATATGAAAACAGCCAAACCCAAGTTTTGAAACGTCTCCGCCAACTTTGTTCAGAAATAAATTTTGATATAGGATATACCTTAACAAAAAACAGCACATAAATGTTACACAAATATTTATTTCTCACTTACACGAAATAAAACAATGAAGTTACACGAGAAAAGAAATCACAGACATTTAATACAACAATCTCGGTACTGGGTTTTAAAACTAAACATATTTAATTAATCATATATTACATTTGCTGAGAAAAATAAATAAGCAATAAAAAATATATAGAATCACAGTTTTAGTAATAATTGAATTTCTATCACAAAATCATTAAAAAAATATAAATAGGTAAAATGAAAACCATCTTCAATCTTTGACTGACTGACGTAAAGCTTTCGATTAAGTAATTCACCAATCATTAATCAGTTAATTTTTCTTTTTCTTAAATTCTTACATTAATACAATCCAACACATGCGTCCATTTTTTCTTTAGCCCTGCTTTTATCACAGCGTTCCTAATTATTACAAAAATCACATTTACATTATACACGTGATCCCATCTGGATTTAAACAGTGTCCCACAAGGCACACTTCTAGCACACCTTTTCTTTCTAAATAATTGTTTACAAATTATTTTAGTTTGAATTTAGTTACAATTATTTACTTACGTTCCCATAAACAATGGACAATTTGTCAGTCGGTTTAACAATCCTAATTAAATAATTAATCAATATGTTTTAATGGCATTCCCGAGTTCCTACATTATAGAGTTATACGAATTCTTTACAACCTTAAAGAAAATTTTAAGTATATATTAAATTTACAAAATAATAGAGAATAGAAAATGCTATTTGGAAACGTATTCGTCTTTCATTAGACTAATCATTTTTTTTTAAGTGTTTCGTGTTTTTGTGAAATTACTAAATTGATTACTTACTTAAATGAATTAGACAAATTGTTTCCAAGTAGCAATAGAGATTTACAACATTTTTTAAGACATTCTAATCTCATAGAAAAATAGGTATAGTCACATCAAAAAGTACACACATTTTTTCATCTACAATGAATAGTTTAGTTAATCGATGATTATATTGAAACAGTTTCTTTAATAAACGTGGGAGATTCATCCACATTACGGGTTGTTTATTACCACATTAAATCATGGAATGATAAATATTTAGTTCGTTCTTGTCAGTAAATTAAGCATGATGCAGAGATTTTGAAGATATTTAATTTAATGCCAACGAAATCGAAAATTTAGTATTTTATTTAGGTATATTAAATTTCATAATGGACAAGGATAATATTGTTGAAAGTGACGATAGCAAAATATTTAGTTTCCTTTTTTAACCGGTTTAAAATTTTGCCTTCAGTTAATTTTTTGGTGATTATGGCTGCGCCTCATTACGTGACGATTCTGGCAATGTCTCGGATAATTTTGTCTTAATATTAACGGGATGTTCAATTTATTGACAAGATTCATTGATAGCTGTCATTTATAAGCAAAACTCATCATTTTCAGACTTAAAATTTGAAGTAGAATACCGTACGCTCCTTGCATAACAAACGAATATAAAGTTATTATTTAATTCGTCCATTAATTTCTTAAGTTACGGTTTTAAGAGATTTTTTGATAAATAGGGGTTTAAAGTCTAATATAACTCCTATAACCATTCGATTTGACATTTGGAGTTAATATTTGAAAAATGTTTTAAAAAACTGAAACTCAATTAAAGTTAGCAAATATCAAATCTTAAGATAGAGTGATGCGTAAATTGAGTCCAATTTCAACTTTCATATCAAAGGGTTTAACACAAGTTCTACAACTAATTCGTCTAGTATCGAAACGACGTAAGTTACAGTCCAATCTATAACATTGTTGATTGGTTTAAGGATAATAATTATCGTAGAATTCGGATAAGTTTACGTATATTCAGTGCAAATTTTGTGCTACACCTTATAGAGGTATACATCGCTATTAGAGTAACTACTATCGAGTACAGTAACAATTATCACATAAAATAGGAAGAGGTTATAAGGGTGATCATAGACCGTTTGTACGGGAACCGATGTCGCCGCCTTCCACTTAAAAGATAATAGCCAATCAAACGATCGAACCAATCAGCGCTCACACCCGAGAGCAGCGACGCAATCAGAACCAAGTTTTGGTCAAGTTATGAGCATTTGCTCACACCTAACTGTGGCGAGCCTGCCCCGCCCACAAGGCCTTCTTACCTCTCTCAGTGTTCTGTGCCAATTATTATATTGGGATGTGATCAACAATTGTTAAAGCCTCAACATTTTAAAACCACAGCTAGAAATCCTCTCATTAGGGCCTTGTTACCATCAGCTGACAATTTGGCTGATATTGGAGATGTTTTTTAAATCTGTAATGTTGGGTATGTTACACAGACGTAGATCGCAATAGTCGTTATAACGCAAGTGTCGTTCTTGTCCATGTCGTGCCAAAAACATGCCTTAAGGGAAAGCCAAGCTCCTGGTATAAATTTTATTTCTTCGCATCACCATCGCATTTCTTTAAATTTATAATGCTACGGCCATAGAAGCGCGCGAAAATTCGGGTCCCGATAGCGCATTAAATAGGGTACTTTCCATTTTATTGAAAACTGCTTATATTTAAAGATTGGGACAAACGATTTAACAGAAAATAAAAATAAATTAATTTATATCTTATTTTCTCCATTAGACCAATAAAAGTTGAATTTATTTATAATGGTTTTGAATTTACCTTCGAAACGCTCGGTTCAATGACGTCTACTGTGTGACGTCAACTTTGAGTAAAGAATTTCAACACCTATGTATATTCCTATGTTAGTCTGTGGACGATCTGTGATAACGGAGTGGTTTAATGGAGAATTTTTCTGTTAAATCGTTTGTCCGCAGTCTTTAAATATAAGCAGTTTTCAAAAATTTGGAAAATACCCTATTTCCGACTTCGATCTACAACGACGCGCACTGGCCACATTTGAAAAAATCATCGCGACACGTAGCGTTATCTTGGAATCCCCCTATCGCGATAACTCGAAGATTTCCGTTGTCGCAATTAGCCTGGCCGGGACATAATTGTGCATTGTGTAAACGTTAAGCTGTATAAAAAAGCTTATTACAAAGTGTTTGATTATTACAGACAAAAATGCTTGGGTTTCAACTGTTCCAGTCGTTCCAACAGGTTTTCTATATTATATAAATCATAATTGTATTGACGTTGTAACAACATAATGATTTGTTATATTAAACTATTAATGTTGTGGAGTTTTTTACGCTCGTTTTTCTCCGCAGCTAAAAAATATATCCATAACGACTGGGTGCGGAAAAAAATTTTTGGACGATTTTAAAGTGTTGTACTATACATCCAATTTGAATAAAGATATATTGAAACTATAATTGCTATTTCTTCTTTCAAATGTTTAATACTTGTAAAAGTATTCATTTGACATTGTGGGTTACCTATAATGCGAAGAGATGGCGCTGCCTTGCAGCTTAAGAATAGCTGGAAAGAATTTCGACGCGGTCCGTGAGGGCCGCGGTAGCATAATTGGTCAGTGGATTCACCCGGATTGCGAAGGGTGCGGGTTCGAGTCCCGTCTGCTGCCTGGTCCGCGTGGAATTTTTTCTAGTTATATTTTCTTTAGATTTAAACATCAAGCAGTTACATGCTTTAAAAATAATAAAAATTATAAGATATATTGATTTCTGATTTGATATTGAATTGAGAAACAGATGGCCAATGCTCATGGTTTTCTATCACTGTATATGTTCTCCTGAGTACTGAAAGCTTGACGCGTTTGTTTTTTTTTTTGGACATGTAACGTCTGCTTGGATCTAGGTCTGTGGTATACAAATTTTGACAATATCCTTCTTAAGTAAGGGACAGTGGTAAGATAGAACATTTTTAGTTAAAAGTGTGTGTCGCTCACTTTTTGGTGGTCTTTTTGGCACGCCCCTGCTTGATGACTTGCACCAACTTCAGCTTTTGAGCTTCAGGACTCTCCATGAATTCTTCAAGCATCTGTTCAGAGAGAGATATTTGTTAAGACCTTGACCAAATTTTTTTCAGTGAAACTTAAAATTGAACGCTACAATTTTTTTCGTTCATGTTTAGAATGAAGCATCACAATTTATGATTGTTATTAAAAAAATCTAACTTTATCAACTCTTCACGAGTGTCACACGCAAATATATATATCTAATAATATATAATCCGTCTAGTATCTCCTTTAATCTTTAATACAAATCTCACCTGCATACTAAGTTCAGCTGATATAGTAACGGCTGCATGTTGACTGCTCGACAGCGCTAACAGAGTAGGCAGTAACGCTTGACTGTGTTGAGGAGACACCAGCCAATTGGCTGGTAAAGTACACAAGGTCTTGACTACGCTCCATCCGTCTAGTATCGTCTCCTGTTAGAAGACAATGGCTCGGTTGGGATTTTGGCTTATTTCGTACAGTGCAACGAGATCTTTATAAATGTCAGTGACAGTCACAGAACACAGAAACAGATTAGAAGGGTGATCATAGGCCGTACGGGAACCGATGTCGCCGGCTCGCCCCCACTACACTTCCACCTAATCTATATATATGATAAAATGGGAGGAAAGTCAAAACAGTACATTGAATATTTTTTTAAAAGAATACTTGGGGTGTGCTCTACAATCGATACCGAAGCCAAAAATATAGTTTTTAGAATTTTTGTCTGTTTGTCTGTATGTATGTCCGGGATAAACTCAAAAAGTACTGCATGGATTTACTTCAAATTTGGCACGAAAATTATTAAGAAGTCGGGTCAACATATAGGCTTCATATTATCACGCTATCACCTACGGAGAACGAGCAGTGAACCTTTATTTGTAACTAACTCCACGCGTACGAGGTCGCGGGCGGCCGCTAGTATATAAAAGCCAATCAAACGACGTGACATCAAAGAGAGCACCGACGCAATCGGAACCAAAGTTTGGTCAAATTATGAGCATTTGCTCACATATAACTGCGGCGCTACTGCCCCGCCCACAAGGCACTTCTAACCTCTTTCTGTGTTCTGAGGTGACAGTTCAGGGAGTTAGTATTATCAGGATTTACTATATTTATAGCGGGAAATACACATTATGAGAGGAGCTCGATGGCGCAAGTGGTTAGCGCTTTCGGCTGCGATCGTTGAACTTAAGCAACTTTCGCAGTGGTCGGTCATTGGATGGGTGACCAAAAATCACTATCTCGAGCTCGTCCGTGCTTCGGAAGGCACGTTAAGCCGTTGGTCCCGGCTGCATCTGCAGTCGTTAGCACCCACCAATCCGCACTGGGCCCGCGTGGTAGGTCATGGCCCAAATCTCCCTATTCCATCCATAGGGAAGGCCTGTGCCCCAGCAGTGGGGACATTAATAGGCTGATGATGATGACACATTATGAGTTTGATTTGAAAAAATATTGCTTTATCAACTTTAAGACTATAGGATATTTGACAGTATTAAAAGTAAAGTGCCAATTGTAAGCATCTGTGTTTAGAATGAATATTGGCAGGGGTTTTTACTATTATTACAAAAAAATTATTCGTAATTTTACTAAGAACCCACGAAAAGATGATAGTTTTCTTATCTATTGTCACGTGACACAAAACGCTTGGGATTGGCGGAGCCTAAAATGACGTCACACGCCAGTAAACTTCCGTTTAAAGTGACATTACATTGTAGATATCGTTTGACGTTGTGATAACAGTCGTGTGACGTCACACACTAGAATGACGCCATATTGTCCAGAAAAACGTTTTCGCGGCAACTTGAAAATGGAATTTTTGATTGGGTTATTTTTACTGAAATACACAACAGAATGATGAATATCCACCTTTTACGGACTCCATAAACATTAGTCAATAACGTGAGATCGTTTTCTAAAACTTGTCAAATACCCTATTAGGTTTAATAATGAGAATTTTAAGTATAGGATTTCCTGAATTAGCTTTTTATCATTTATTGACTCATGCTATATTTAAAGCATTATTATTTATATGTGCTGCCTGCTGGGGTTATTATTCATTTGATAAACTAGCTGTGCCCCGCTGTGTTACCCGGGGTTTATTAGGGATATTTTCCCGCAGTAAAACGTAGCATATGTGTTAATCCAGGGTGTCAGCTAACTCCATACATAAATTTTATTAAAATCGCACCAGCCGTTTAGACGTGAAGAAGTAACAAACAAGACGTGAAGACGTAAGCACGGATGAACTCGAGATAGCAAATTTTTGGTCACCCATCCAATGACTGACCATTGCGAAATTTGCTCAACTCCAACGATCGCAGCCGAACGCGCTGACCACTTGCGCCATAGAGCTCCTCCCCATGGTCACAATGTAAATTTTATATTCACACAAAACAATTATCACACAAAGTATCTAAGTTAACCATAAACAACATAGAGGCACACCTGTGTACCGGACCCCGAACTCCATAAACAAGCTACAAAGCGAATTAACTGTCCATTATCACACCGGCGACAGCACAACAACGTAAATTTATCGGTGGTTCCCATGTGTCCGCCGTCTCAATTATGAGCAGTAAAAAGTGGAAATAAATAATTCAGGTGCATGCCCATGGGTAGGGAGCGGCCATCGTATGAAAGCCGTGCGCTATATGCGGGCGTAGTTTTGTTGTAGATACTCGAGGCGCTCCGCACCTGTGCCCCTGTCCGCGAAACGACGGACGTGAGAAAATATCTACGGAGCTACCTAACTTATATTATATGTTTTTAAGAAGGTGATAAGCTGCCTAGCATCCATATTTCACCTATAGGTAAAATAAAATATAATTTCTTAAAAGTAGCGGAAATATTGCTGATAGTAAAATCACAGACAAATAAACCTGCGTTGTATAATGCGATTCAAATGAGAATAGGAAAGCCAATGACCTCCGACTGTCAAATGTCGCTTGAAAAGTACGGTTTGCAAAAAAATCTTGGAACCCTTTTTTAGCACTCTGCTAATTGTAGAATAAAAACCACACATTTATAAACATACAATAACAAATATTGATAATTAATATTGATTGATATTTTTTTTCATTTATTGAGCTTTGGCTATGAATGGTTGATAACCTAAACCGTCAACCCTATGTCACTTTAAGTTGCGTTCAGAAACTCAATTTAAAACTTTCGTTTACCTAAAGGATGCATGTTCGTATGTGACCTAGTAATATTGCATGATTATTCCTACTACGGCGGTAATGCAGAGATAGATGAGCGGAATTGAAGAACTAGATTCTGATTTATGTTTTTTCTCACACAGGCTTAATAAATAAATTTTATTTTTATTTTTTTAAATTTTGTTTTTTTTCTCAATCTTAGTAAATATTTTAATAAAAAAAATGGGTGCGTGTACTTATGTAGGCGCGTGAGAAGTTATCCTTCTTTGGCATCGTTTAAAATTAGTTTTTAATTGCATGCAAATAATTAATTACAATAAATTAATAAAAAGTCTGGAAAAGGACACAGTCAATAAAGTTCAGTTTTAATTTAAAAAAATAAATAAATAATCAAAATATTCAATTAAAATCGCTACTGAATATAATTTATTAGAACATATGTGATTTGCACTTGTATGAAACTCAAACACGTATTCCGAATATACAAACTAGAAACATGTGGATAAATATTATAAATATGAATACCTTTATCTGTTACTTTATTACAAAAAATAAAGATGTGGTTTTTGGTTCTGCTACACCAATGGTCAAGAGATGGCGCTGTAGTCTCCTGAATCGCGCTTTGGTTCCGTTGTTCCAGATTAATAAATACTTTTTGTTACTTTATTACAAAAAAAAATGGGTGCGTGTACTTATGTAGGCGCGTGAGAAGTTATCCTTCTTTGGCATCGTTTAAAATTAGTTTTTAATTGCATGCAAATAATTAATTACAATAAATTAATAAAAAGTCTGGAAAAGGACGAAGTCAATAAAGTTCAGTTTTAATTTGAAAAAATAAATAAATAATCAAAATATTCAATTAAAATCGCTACTGAATATAATTTATTAGAACATATGTGATTTGCACTTGTATGAAACTCAAACACGTATTCCGAATATACAAACTAGAAACATGTGGATAAATATTATAAATATGAATACCTATAACTGTTACTTTATTACAAAAAATGAAGATGTGGTTTTTGGTTCTACTACACCAATGGTCAAGAGATGGCGCTGTAGTCTCCTGAATCGCGCTTTGGTTCCGTTGTTCCAGATTAATAAATACTTTTGATAGGCCTTCACAATGCAGTCGTTAGCACCCACTAAATAGAGATTATATTTCTATTTTGTTGGTAGATTTTCTTAATGTGCGGTAAACACAAAAGTAACGCATGAAGTTGGTCGCTAAAGCGACCAACTTCATGCTGTTAAAGTTTTGTGTTACAGTGATGCGCGCGCATCTTAAAATTTCACTCTCATAATTTTTTCATAACGCGCCTAAAGAAGTATAACTTCAAAAATAAAGATGTGGTTTTTGGTTCTACTACACCAATGGTCAAGAGATGGCGCTGTAGTCTCCTGAATCGCGCTGTGGTTCCGTTGTTCCAGATTAATAAATACTTTTGATAGGCCTTCACAATGCAGTCGTTAGCACCCACAAAATAGAGATTCTATTTCTATTTTGTTGGTAGATTTTCTTAATGTACGGTAAACACAAAAGTAACAGTTAATTTTTTGTGTTACAGTGATGCGCGCGCATCTTAAAATTTCACTCTCATCATTTTTTCATAACGCGCCTAAAGAAGTATAACTTCAAAAAAATCTGATGTTTTTTCTCACTTAATCTTAGAGGTTTTATTAAATAAAATCTATTTTTTGCTCACTGTACCTATTTGGTTTGAATTGACAGCTATGACGTCAAAATATGGCGCCCAGTCGCTCCTATTCTTAGTTGAATCGCATTATACACGTTTTTCTATGTAAAACTACTACGGCGACAAACTCTGTTTTAAAATCTGTCTGTCCCGCCAACTAGCGAAAAATCCCGGGGATGCGCCATCGTGCCGGTTGGCGACCGGATGAAAGGGCCCGATGGACATCCCTCGGGCGTCCCCGCAGCCTCCGGACTAGCTCCCTTCGGTGCCTGTATTCTGTATGTCTTTAGGGTTAGCTACGCAAAAGTTTCATCTCACTGCCATCTACCACCGAATTTCGCTCTTCGCTAATATGATATGTCGCATAATAAGAAAAAAAGGGTTAAACAGCGGTTGCACGCCCTTTCACTTAAAGTGCACCTCTCAAACATCCGAGGCTTGCACTCCAATCTCGACGCGGTCCATCATCACCTCGAGACCGAAAGACCCGCTCTTATTGTGCTGACGGAGACGCAGATCAAATGTCCATCTGACACGGCGTATTTGCTGTACCCGGGTTACAGCCTTGAGCATAAC